TACAGAATAACCTTGGTGTAGCAACTACCAAGACTTAACAGATAGTAACATTTTGCCACATTTTACTTCAGATATTGTTATCATCATCATCATCTGTAGAAATAAGCTAGATACACAGGTGAAGCATCCCCATCCCAAATCTTACGCTCTTCCTTTCATCCCACAAGGTAACCGTTATCATAAATTTAGTGTGTATTCTTCCTATACATGTTTTTAAACTTTTTCTATGTATGTGTGTAGCCAGACTAATACATTACTTGTTTTAAAAATTTTATAGAGATGGTATCATACCTCTAAGTACTGCTTTAGCTGGATTTCACAAGTCTTGCTTCTTTTTTAGTTCAGCATTTGTCAAGTTTTGCATTTTGATTTTTTTCTTTGACCTTTGTTGTTTAGAAATATTCTTAATATCCAGATATGTGGAGTTTTCTAGTTATCTTTTAAAAAAATCACTTGCCACGCTAATTATATCATGGTTTTCATTCAGGATGTCTTGTTAGGTCATAGTCTTAGAAATTTGTTTATGGAAATTCTTTGAGGACTGCATTGAAGGTAGATTGTTCAGGAAGCGATTTGTGGCCAGGTACAGTGGCTCATGCCTGTAATCTCAGCACGTTGGCAGGCCAAGGCAGGAAGATTGCTTGAGGCGAAGGGTTAGAGACCAGCCTGGGCAATATTGAGACCCCCATCTCTGCAGAAAATTTAAAAATTGGCCCAGTGTAGTGGTGCACACCTGTTGGCCCAGCTTGAGGCCAGAAATTTCAGGTTGCTATGAGGATGCCACTGCACTCTAACTCAGGCAACAGAGTGAGACCCTGTATGGAGGGGAAAAAAGGGATTTGCTTTGCTTCTTTCTTGTTCCTGGAAGTGCTACTGGCCCAGGAAAAGCCTCTTTCCTTATACCCTATGTCTTTCCAGCCCCTCAGTGCAAAAGGTTCCAGACTAGCAGTTTTCTTTGAGGGACAGTTTAATTTCTAGTTTACTCTTTTTTTTTTTTTTTTTTGAGACAGAGTCTCACTCTCTTGCCTGGGACGAGTGCCGTGGCGTCAGCCTAGCTCACAGCAACCTCAAACTCCTGGGCTCAAGCAATCCTACTGTCTCAGCCTCCCGAGTAGCTGGGACCACAGATACACGCCACCATGCCCGGCTAATTTTTTCTATATATTTTTAGCTGTCCAATTAATTTCTTTCCATTTTTTGGTAGAGACGGGATCTCGCTCTTGCTCAGGCTGGCCTCGAACTCCTGAGCTCAGAACGATCTGCCTGCCTCGGCCTCCCAGAGTGCTAGGATTACAGGCGTGAGCCACTGCGCCCGGCCTCTAGTTTACTCTTATATTGAGGGTATAGCTGTTTGGGCTCTTAACTTGGTATGGTTTGGATGGTCTCTTGTTTAGAGTCTCTTGGGCTGGTAGTGGCTTTGTCCCTTGCCCCTCTAGGCTTTGAAACCCTGAAGCCAAGTTTTACTTGGTTTTTCACTTGTCCAAAACATGGGTTTTCACTGAGTTTTTGGCCTCTGGGTATTTGTTTCTTGATTTAAACAGGAATTAGATAGTCAAGGCTTTGTATGAAGCATTAGAAGTCTAAATGTAGCAGCCTATGGATGTGTTTGTCCAAGAGATAGAGATTCTTTCAGTAGTAGTTAGAGCTTTGGATTACAGATAGATATCAGGCATCTACTTACAAGTTACTAATTACTTTTTATACCCCATTGTTTTATTCAAGGATACAGCATTTATTGAGCATATGCCTTGGCATTATTCTAATTTATATATTTTCTCATTTAATCCTCAAAAACATACTGAAGTAGGTTTATAAATAAGCAAATTTGGGGAGGCTGAGTAACTTGTCCAAGACTACTAGTAAGTAGGGGGGGCCAGGACTCAAATGCAGATGTATTTCACTTCAAAGCACTGCTCTGTATTGCCTCTTCAGCTATAGCTCTTGTTGTATATTATATTTAGCACTCTATGCTATATATAGGAATTAGTCAGTTGTTGCTACCTTGGTAACTATCTTGTGAGCTGAGAGATAGGCAGACAATAAAATAGCTGGTTTTAGAAATTAATATCCTTAAGCAGGAAATAATTTCAATATGACTGTTATAATTTGTTTTTTCCTAGGAGGATCTCACACCTAAGGATATTGAAGATATTATTGATGAGCTCAAGGCTGGCAAAATTCCAAAACCTGGGCCAAGGTATGCTTTTGTTTATATATATGAAGTTTTAATGGCTTAACCTAAATTAATCTTTCACATAAACTTAATCTTTAAAATTTTATACCCTAAGTTCACAGGAATTAGCAAGAGCTTTGGATAGTATCTAGAGTAAGAATTTTTTTTTCTCCTAAAACCCTGTTAGATAATCATCTGATATCTACCTGAGTATTTATAGAGAAGGAAAATCTGCTACAAACAGAAATCTGTTCCATTGTTTAAAAGTTCATACTGCTAGAAGACCGACCCAAAGACTATCTCTCTCTATTTTCCACCTAAAAATCCACTTCTGTCCTTTGAATCAACACATTTTTTTTTTTTTTCGAGACAGGGTCTCACTCTGTTACCCAGGCTGGAGTGCAGTGGCACAATCATAGCTCAGTGTAGCCTCGAACTCCTAGGCTCAAGCGATCCTTCTGCCTCAGCCTCCTGAGTAGCTGGGACTACAGGCACATGCCACTGTGCCCAACTAATTTTTTTATTTTTTGTAAAGACAGCGTCTTGCTATGCTGCGCAGGCTGGTCTCGAACTCCTGGGCTCAAGCGATCTTCCTGCCTTAGCCTCCCAAAGTGCTAGGATTACACATGTGAACCACTGTACCAGGCCAACACAAGATAATTTTAATACCTCTTCCAAATGACAGCCGTTCGGTTACTCGAAATAGCTATTTTGTCTTCCCCATATTTTTTTCTCAGATTGAATAACCAGTTTTTTCATTGTTTTTCCTTATATAACGCAGCTTTAGTCTCTAACCTCTGTGGGTTTTCTAGTTGGCTCTAGTGATTCTAATGTATTTGAGATACATCCTGAGTAGTGCAGAGCATTTATGGGACTGCCTCCTTTGTTCCAGACATTAAACTTACAATAATGCAGCCTAATTACATCAACCCTTATTTCAGATACATTATACAATTAATTGCATTTAATAGTCAGAATGCCTAGATCTTTTTCTATTTATCCATTGCTGGATTGTTCCCATCCTATAGTCATGTTATATTAATTACTTTTTTTTCAGTTATGAACTGAACTTTTACTGCTAAACAAGCCCCTATTTCATATCTAAGTGTACAATTACTCAAAACTCTCTCTTAATACGAGCAAATGTTTGCATGGTTTTATACAGTTGTAACCCCTCTGTAAAAGTTTTTTCTACTTAAGTCATATACACCTTTTCTTCTGTCAACATGTTTGTAGGTTTTAATGGCCATATAGTGTTCTGATGTTTTTAAAAGAGCTATTATGTGCTCTTTATTCTCCTGTTTTAAAATATTTTTTCCTAAGTTTTATTAAAAATAATAATTCCCTGAAGTTGAATTACTAAGTATAAGTGGTTCTATAGTTTCCTCTCTAGAAGTATCTCTCATCCTTCTGGCAGACTAATAACCCTACTTAGTGAGAAAATGAGGTCAATTCAGGGTAACTTAAATTGAATACACACTAGCTGGTCCCTGTTAACTATTGCTTTCTTTTCTAATAAACATACCTATGCTACTTTCAACACCCTAAGCCTATAGAATTTGTTTCACTTTTGGGGGGATACTTGCTGTGTTTTAGGAGATACATTTCCATTGTGAAAAATCATTCTCCTTTATGGAGGTACCTGAAGTGAAACCTTTTGTTGTTTAACATTACAGTATCCTTCTTAGCTACTGGTCCTAGCCCTTATTTATTCTTGCTTCAAATGTAGATACCCTCCCCTCAGAAGAGTTCATATTTCACAGTATTTTCTACAAACTTCAGCTCCTTTTTAGGATTCAGATGTTTTTTAAATAAGTTTATGCTATTCTTATGTCTATACTCAAACTCATAACTTCTTTCAACTTTTGGATACTTTTTTTAATATCTCAAGTGAACATTTGCCCGTGAAATCCACTTGGGTTCTTTAGTTGGCCCCCTTTCTTCTGATTAGATGTTTATAATTCTGTAGTCATAATTTTGTTGTTTAGAATCTCCTACTTTCCTTGTTAATTCTGTGATCTACAGTGGACAACATGAATCCAGTATTACTCTCCTGCCATGCAAATAGGCAGATAGTTGCTTTGTCTACTTTATTGCATCACATTACATTACATACTCAACACTCATTTATTTCACATTTTTGAATGTCTGCTGTATGCCAAGCAGTATTTTAAGTTATGCATACAGTTGTAAACAAGATCAAGTTCTCATGTATCTTATATTCTAGTGATGGAGACAAATGTAATATCTGAATGATAAAATGCTATTAAGAAAAATGAAGTAGGATTAGGGGATAGAGAATGATTGGGAATAAATTTAGTCAGGAGAGGCCTCTTGGAGGTGGTAACATTTGAGCCATGACCTGAATGATGAGCTGGAAGGAACCATGTAAATAGGTGGAGGAGCAGTATTCCAGAGATGGGGGGTGGAGATGTATCAAGGTTCTAGCGGAAAAAACAGTATGGCTACAATGAGGTGACTGAGGAAGAAAGTGGTGGAAAGGATCAGAGAGGGAGATGGGGCCCAGATAAGAAATCTGGGTTGAATCCCAAATATAATAAAAAGCTGCTGTTGGTTTTCAGTAGGGAATGATATGAGCAGTCTTGTTAAAAATATTGTCCTAGTTGCTATGCAGAGAATAGTTTAGAATGTAGTGGATGTTTGAGGCTGAGGAATTATGAGAATTTCTAGCTTTTTGGCTTGAGCATCCCTCCTTTAACTAAAATGGAGAAGATTTAGAATAGGGCAAGTTTGGGGTTAGAAAAGTCAGGAGTTTTGTTTTAGACATGGTAAGTTTGAGATGCCTGTTAGACATCCATGGTAGAATGTTGACAGACAGATGTGAAGCTGGAATTTAGGCTGGAAATAAGACTGGAGATTCATTAGTTAGTAGACATGGTTTTTAAAGTCATAAGTCTGGGTGAGAATGTCACGGATGAAATTAGAATTTGTTATTTTTAACATGGGAGATACTATAACATTGTATTTTAACATTAATAAGCAGAAACCAAATACAGTTAAGCATTTCAGCATGTGGTAATAATAGGGATGTTGCTTGTCATTAGTTGTATACAGTTCTTTACTGGGATTTTCTTGACAGTGTTCTTCTGGATTTGAGCCAAAGACTTTAGAATCATTAGTGTCTCAACCTATTTTTATTTTTTACTTATCACATCTCTTATTTAAAAGGCAGAAATAAACCTACTTATTTTTCAGTAATTGCAGAGCATCCATCAATAGTAAATAAAGCTTGTATTCAGACATGGTAACACTAGAATGTCTTATCAGCACAGGCAAACAAAAACTTTTGACTTTACCTCCCCAAGTTAATATCTTGGATATATAGATAATGAGAGACTGAGCTAGCAATAACCATAATACAGTTATTATTTAAATTAACCAAAGCTGCTAATTGTTTTTATTGGTATTTTTATGATAAAGTTCTCTACTCACATATTTGAAAGAGGTTCTAATTGTGAGTCTTTGAGTAATGAAAAACTGTAAGAAATTAAACTGGTTCCACCACTAGGTCTTCCCTGGCCAAAATTAGTAAAAGACTGATGTTTCTATGGCTCAAAACTGCTTTTTTATTATTTTTGGTAAATGACTGTTAAAAAGAAAATATTAAACCAGTGGTAAGGTAATGAAGTTGACCCTTGAACCACGAGGGTTAGGGTTACCGATCTGTGTGTAACTTTTGACTCCCCAGAACCTTTACCAGTACTGTTGACTGGACCAGAAGCCTTACTGATAACATAGTGGATTAACACATTTTATATGTAATATTGATATGTACTATATATTCTTACAATGATGTAGACGAGAGAAAAGAATGTCATAAAATCATAAGGAAGGGAAAATATATTTACTGTTAATTAAGTGGAAGTGGATCATCATAAAAATCTTCATCCTTGTCATCTTCACTTTGAGTAGGCTGAGGAGGAAGGGGAGGAAGGGTTGATCTTGCTGTCCCAGGGGTGGCAGAGGCAGAAGAAAATCCACATATAAGTGGACCCATGCAGTTCTAACCTGTGTTTTTCAGGAGTCAAGTATGCTTTTTCTGAATTTTGACATTAGTATTTGTGTGCTACAATTGTTCTTGTTTTCAGTTGATTTAAAGCATGGAAAAACAACTTCTAAATCTGGTTTCAAATTACTAATAGTTCTTTTTAGTATAAATTAGTTTATAACTATTTTTAAATCCAACTTGAATTCTTCATATTTAGTTTTGTTAAGATCTTAAATTTTGCACAATTCTGTGGGGTGCAGGTAATATGTGAAACATAAAAAATATATAGCTAGGCTATATGGTACCAGTGTGGTTGTTGAAAGGTGACTGTAGACAATAAAATCATTTTTGGTTTTTTATACTAAAAGTAGGGGCAGTGGTGAATATATCTCAGCAATAAAAAGGTAAGCACTAAACTTCCATAAAGTAGTTTGTCCTTAAGCCATAACACTTTACAGAAAGGCCAGGTTTTCTAAAATGCAAATGAGCTAAAATGATCCACATGCATAGTGTTGGAATGGCTGAAAAACCACGTTTATGTTTTGAAGTTTAATGAAACAAGGTAATTATTAGATGGCATTTTAAACATGAGATACTATGGGAAATCATTTTTTGTTCATTAAGTGAAAAACTCTAGTGTAAATTGTGGCTGTCAGGTGAATGGATAGGGCTAAATCACTGTCTCTTGAGTGTCCTGAGGCATGTGTACAAATGGTGCCAGGGGAGAATTACATTAGTAGTAGATTAAACAAAATTATAGGTTTAACTGAAGGATTTTATAATTTTTATAATTTCTTAATATGCATTGTGTGAGTGGCGGGGAAAGGAGGTGGTTTGCAGCCAGACATAGTGGACCACTGGAACCCCCTTTTTTCTCTAAAGTATGCCATGGGCCAGGCATGGTGGTGCATGCCTGTGGTCCCAGCTACTGGGGAGGCTCAGGTGGGATGATCCCTTGAGCTGAGTTCGAGGCTTCAGTGAGCTATGATTTTGCCACTGCACTGCAGCCTGGATGACAGAGCCAGACCCCAACTCTACAAAAAATAATAATAAAATATGTCATGGAATTGTAATTTCATGGAACAAACTTTAGGAAATTCTGGGCCAGATTATTCTTAAAATAACTATCATATGTAAAAATGCTGTAATCCTGTGAAGAATTCAGGAGGTATATATGATTAATTCTATTTATTGTTCAAGAAACTTCAGTTACTATAATCTTCCTAAATTGATCCTTTGTGTTGGTAAAGAAGGTATCAATATTAAGGAGCTTATTATTAATTTAAAAAGACCCATATCTATCCAAACTGATAAGCATTAAGATACCAAATGCTCAGCTTTCAGGAGACTTCTAAAATGAAACATATCATATTCCATTTTGATATTTGATCAAGAGAAAAGTTGTAGACAGAAGTTCAACAGAAGGGGTAGCTGAACTTAAACAAGTGGGACTCTAATAAAGGAAAAGTTCCTCGAAAATAAATTAATTTCATTATTTCATTGGCAGTTAAAGAGCAGCAGTTGTATCTAGTTAATATAAAAAACGACAAAGCCAAATAGTATTTTTTTTTATTTTTTAAGTTAAGTATCATTTTGACACTTACCCTACATCATTAGTTCTAGGCTCTACCAGATAGTATATAATGACTGCTATTTGATCTGTTTTTATAGTGAACAAAAAGACCTATAAATGCAACTAATTTCTGACTTTGTACTATTGTTCATTACAATACATTATGTGGTTACTCGTATTACTGTGGTAACTTGAAAGATCTTACAAATGATTATGTGGTGTCATTTTCCTGTCTCAACAAAAAATGATTTCCTAGGGCTCTAAACAATAGATTTTTAGGATTAGTGACAGAATGTGAAAGGCAAAGTCAGAGGGGGTTGAAAACATACAAGCTAAACAAGTTCTTTAGCTAAAATCTGTGGCAGGAACAAGGGAAATTAGCAGAGCCAGGGAATAGTCGGGGAAGGGTGAAGTGATATGGAGTAGGTGCTGAGCTGTGCTCTAGCAACAGAGGTCAGCCAGGACAGAGGTGAGCAATTACGTGGGAAAGTATGTGTGGGGGTGAAAAAAAACGCAGGCAGGTTCTTCTACCTCTGCTCTCCCTCTTCATAAATTCCTCCATCAGGACCTGTTCTTGTTTTCTGCTATTTGTGGATGTGGTGGCTACCCTGGTCTTGAAACCTTTTTTTCAAAAAATTACTACTACTTATGTAGCCTTAAAAAAACATAAATACAAATAGATTTTGACTTCACTGCTTCTAAGGGACATCCTCCCAAATTTTCATATTTCTCGAGGAATCCAGTTTCAGTTTTTATTTCCAAATATAGTGTATAAATGTGTGTGTTTCTTCTGTTCACTGTGACAGTGGATCTCAATCTAAATAAAATTCAAGTATAAAAAGAATAAAGATAGTGCTCTAGTTTATTAAAACATGTGTTTTAAAAATGTTCTCTGGGGCTTTTTTCGGGGGGGGGGGTGGCAATAGTTCTTTACTCTGATCTTTGGGCAGATGCTGAATCTGCCAAACCTTGCTTTCTGTAGCTATAAAATAAAGCCAGTATCATTTGTCTCATGGCATTGTTATAAACATTAAATGAGCTAATGTATGTACATTGCTCAATAAATGGGAACTATTATTAGTGCTATTTTTATATTTTTCATATTTATGATGATTTGATACATCTTTTCATACTTAACTTTAGGAAGAGAAAAATCTTGCAGCAGTTGATATGTTTGAGTTAAAACATGCTAGTTCTTGAGGGAAAAACAGTTACTTAACTAGGCTGTTGTGAGATAACAATTATAATTTTTTAAGTAAAAATGTATGAATGTTAATCATTAACTTAATATTACTTGCTTTTCTTTTCAGGAGTGGGCGCTTTTCTTGTGAGCCAGCTGGAGGTCTTACCTCTTTGACTGAACCACCTAAAGGACCTGGCTTTGGTGTGCAAGCAGGCCTTTAACTTATATTCAACTGTAAATATGTCACTGGAGAAATAAAATATGAACTTCCTAGCTACATCAACTTTTTATATTATTTGTTTATTCCGCTCTATGTACATCTTAGTGGTAACCTAGCCCCAACTTGTAGGTGTAAGTATTATGTCAAAATGACAGAGCACCATTTTAGTCTTCCACTATCTATGGCTAACTATGAAGACATTATTACACAATCTAGTTAACAGTTACTCCAGTGTCACCCATTTTCTTTTCTTTTCTTTTTTTTTTTTTTAATCTTTTTCTGAATCTAAACACAGAAACAGAACAGTGTCACTCATTTTCAACTGCCAGGTCACTTATCAATAATAGGTTACTGTGCAGTACAAATTCTGTCAAATTTCAAATATATTTTGCTTTCCTATCTTTAGCCACAGTCAAGTTTTAATCCCTTTAAATATTTTTATATTTACAGCATGTAATTGTTATTGTATTTCCAACTGGTAAGTGACACCTCAAGCACACTGTATGTATAAGAAGGATAAGGTAGTTGTCTGTAGAAGCATTATCGTTCTTAAAAAAGAAAGGTACAGAACACTTTAACATTACCCTTTGGCTATTCTGACACTGCAAGTATACAAAAAATAATTGGGTGAGGAAATTGGAAGTATAATCATGAGTGGAAAAATCAGATATGCAAAATATATTGTATAGAATAGATATTACCATTTAGAAAGATAAAACCTTTGTATTACCAGTTCAAGAAACTAGCTTTAATTTTTTAGTTTTGCAAATGAGAAAAAAAAATAGCTTTAATCTATGAATAACTAACTCTAATCAAATTGTTTCAGGATTTCTTAGAGTCACTGTTTGGCCTTGCTTTTGAGACATACTATTCACTAGTAATTATGATGCCTAAAAACATGATGATTATTTTTAAGTATGTCTTTAAGAATCAGGTTTTTTACTTTAGAGAAGGTAAACAATAACAATTTTCCAAGTGGCACAAGTTAACACAATGAAAATGTCTTCCTTCTATCCTAGAGCTCTCTTGACTTTCTCATAGGCAATTTTTTCTTTGTATTTCATGCCATAAACACCCAAATTAAAATGTTACGCTATTCCACTTCTAGCCATAGGGTGCTCTCTTACTATTCATGTTGAACCCAATGTTTTATAGTTGGGAGAAATCAGGAACCTAGAAAAGGAAAAATTCCTGATCTTTAATGCAGGTTTATGCTTTATATAATAATGTGTTGGCCTTCCTGGAATAGTCTGAATGTCACCTCATCTGCCGTGATCACATCTGAACCCTTAGTTTACCAGTGACATAAAGGACAGTCTTACAGAAATTTGTAACTGCAGTCATTAAGTCACAAACGGATGCTGTAGTAGTTTTTAGAGGCAACAGTTAACAATGAGGGAGGTGACGGTTTCCCGCAGAGTATGTAACTCTGTGGGTGCTTAAAGTTAAGACATGTACAAATTGTTGCGGATTAATCTCTATGTAAATCAAATGCGCCCAGAGAGAAGTCAGAGTACATACTGCTGCTATGGCGAGATGGTAAGTTTTCCTTATGCATTCTTCCCCAGTACCTGAGCAGTTCCCTCTTAAATGCTCAATACCACATGTGGAAAAATGCACTGAAATTTCTCTCTGGTCATTGGAAGGTGTGACTGGGAGGGGTCTTACGATCCTGCGGATCCCAGGGCAGGTGCACGCTACTGCACTTTCAGGGCGTGTGCTGGGGCCCCACCTGGCGCCGGGGACGACGGGCTCTAGGCGCAGGTGCAGCCTGCTCCGGCCGCGCAGGCGCACTGCGACACAGACGCGCGCAGCCGCCCCGCCTTTGCCGACCGCGGTGCGACCGGCCGGCAGCCGCCAGCTTAGTGGGGAGAAACTCCCGCCTCGGCCTCTAGCTGTGGTGTCAGCGTCGTTTCGCCCGTGGCCGAATTCAAGCTTCTTTACCCACCCCTGTAAAAATAACATGTGAATACCCTACGTGGGGCCTCTTCATTGCCGCCGCCATTTCCAGAAGTCTCCAGTCACAGCTACTGCCGTGGTCGCCGCAAAAAGCGACTGCAGAGCCCGCTCGCTGGGCAGCGTCAGCGGCGCCTGCGCTGCGTCCTAGCCCAGCCTTTGGTGCCCCCGCTTTTCTCCGGTGGGTGACAGCAGAAGAGAGGCGGTGACACCGGGTGGGGCGGGGAGACGGAGCAACGCGAAGGGAGGAGTTCCGGCCCGCACCCCTCCGCCACCGCCCACTTGGTACGTTCCGCCTCCCCCGCCCTGCTGCTCGAGATGCTTCTCCACAGAGCAGCAAGAGGGGCGGGCGCCGGGGGGGCGGGGCGGTCACGCCGCCCGTCCCGTGCCCGCGGGAGTCACGTGTCCGAGGGAGTCACGTGCCCGCGCCGCAGCCAATAGCCGGGCGGCGCCGTCCTGGGAGCGAGGAGGCTGTGGTGAGAGACGGACCGAGACCGGAGATGTTTTCAAGCCCAGCCCCGTCGGCGTTAGTAGCGGTTGCAGCAGCGACGAAGACGACGACAGCGACGGCCACGCCGAGGCACTCGTTCAGGGGGTAAACCCTCCTGCGCTGGCCGTGCCTCGGGTTCGTGCGGGCGAGGGGGGCGTGGCGACAGGGGAGGAGGAAGGAGGGGCGCGGTTTCGAGCCTGTGCCCGACGCCTGGGAGGAGACCCCTCGGTTCTGCGTTGCTCCCGTTTCCCCTCCTAGAGCAAGGTAGGGGACGCGCCCTGCCCACCCCGCCGGCCCCGGACGCGCCGCCGGCCAGCCCGGTGCCGAGGCGCCGCCGGCCTGACAGTGACAGGCCGTTAGTGGCCCCCGGCGCGGGTCCGCCGCGGCCCCGCCCGCCACCGCCGCCTTTCGCGGCGTCCCGAGGAGCCGCGGCGCAGGTGGGAGCCGCCAGCTGGGCGGGGGCGCCGCGTGGGGCGGGGCGCGGGCCGGGTGGGAGGCTGGGCGCTGGCGGCCCTCGCCGCCGCTGCCGGGGATGGGCTGCCGCCGCCTCCCGGAACATGGCGGGGCTGGCGGAGCGTGTGCGTGCGAGTGTGCGCGGCCCGAGAGGGCGCCGTCGGCGTGCCGGGCCGGACCCGGCGGGGGCGGGGGCGCGCCCGACCGTCGCGCGCTCTCGCCGCCTGTCGTTGTGCGTGCGCGGACGGGGACCCAGCCGCGGCTGCTCGGGCCGGGAGTGCTGGAGGTACCCGGAGTCCGGGGAGAGGTGGATGTCAGTGAGAAGGAGAAATTGCTTCTTTAGTAGTCTCAAGAGAAAGGAGAGCGGCCACGCTGCAGTTCCGTCTGAATTGCCAGCGTGAGCTGCCCTTGCCGCATTGTGCGCTCAGTTCTCTCCGCCGTTTTCTAGTGCCCATTAGAGTGGTGTTCGGAGACCCTTGGAGCACGTCCGGTTTTTAGATGTTATTTTGAGGAATGATGCGGGGTGACGCATCCTTGAGGATCCCAAAGCGTTGAATAAACGGTTGTACAAAGAGGTTACTGAAGGCCAGCAGCTGACAGCTGTTTTAATGATAACAGCAAGAAACTTTTGAGGATGGGAAGTTAACAATGTTGCACTACTTGAAATCGTAGGAAACGTTTAAAGCAGTGTAGTCACCGGGATTGTAATTTCCACTGGACATCTGTGGCTAAATTGCGAACTCGAGTGAAACGTTTAGCAGATCCAGTCATCTGTGACGCTTTGGAATTATCTCTAATTCTGAAGTTGAAGTGAACCTGCGTTGTCAGTCGTGTCTTCCTGTTTTAGTTTAAATTATAGACGGGGCGCGGTGGCTCACGCCCGTGAACCTAGCACTCTGGGAGGCAGAGGCGGGAAGATTGCTTGAGGTCAGGAGACCAGCCTGAGCAAGACCGCGTCTCTGCTTAAAGTAGAAAAATTAGCCAGATGTGGTGGCACACGCCTGTAGTCCCAGCCACTCGGGAGGCTGAGGCAGGATCGCTTGAGCCCAGGAGTTTGAGGTTGCTGTGAGCTAGGCTGACGCCACGGCACTCTAGCCCCGGTGACACAGCGAGACTCTCTCAAAAAAAAAAAAAAAAAAAATTACAAAGGAAGGCTAACTAGTGAAATAGGTATTTTAAGATAAATTAACTGGTTATTTAAAACATGTGCTCAAGTAGGCCGTTAAAAATCCTGGGCACTGATCTCTTTCAGTTTCTTAAATCATTATACAAAAGTTTTCCTGGAGATTAGCTCAGAACTGGCAAAGATTTATAACTCTGTTGGTGCCAAATGAAAATGAGATAGTGTCGACTGTATAAAATGATGTCGATATATTAACTAATCTTGAGAAAAATCTTTAATTTCAGTTAAAAGCAAAAACATTTAAAGATTATAATTATTTCCTTGGGAGATTATAGACAAGGGAAGAAAGATTTTACTGCTTAAGGATCTTTGATAGTTGACGCAAGCACTGGCTACATTTCTAAAGCACTACAGACAGCTTGACTTAGGTCAAGCTTAACTATTCAGGTTATGCGTTCTATTTGAGACAGGCAAGGTGTTAAAAGGAAGGAAAACCAGCATGTTAAGTGTATTCATGGAAGGAAAATTAGAGTAAGAAGTAGGGTACCTTTAGTGTTCTTGATCTCTTATAGTTTTCCTAGTAATTGTTAAGAATTAGTCGTTGTCGGAATAGTTTTGTGAACTAAGCAGAGCTGGGAAAGTGGAAATCTCTGGGCCTGTATTCCGTGAAGACTATTTCAGTAGGAGTAAAGAGAACAAAAATACTGAGATGAGGAAAGAACTTAGTAGCTGAAAATACATTGTGCAGTCCCTGGTATTGGTTCTTTAATATCCAAGAAAAAAAGCCTGAGTTTATTTGGAGACAAGTGTCCAACCAATGGAATGAATTTGAAAGGAAGATGTTTTTATTAAGATGTCAATGTTACTTTTTTCCGTATAGAAGTGGTTGGAAAATGTAACTGTATTCTTCTGAGGTAGATTGGCGAACTTGGTAGTCACTTGAGATATTTGGAAAACACTTTGTTGGAAAAGAGATTTTTATTCTAAAAAATATGAAGAAGAATTGTAAAAATGTTACTTCAATTTCTTGATATTAGCTGACCTGTAAATTTTCTGTAAACTGTTCTTATGTTTTTAGAGCATTTTTTCAGTCTAAAAAGAATGGTAGTGAGATTAGTAATTTCCATCATAGTCTGTAAGAGGTTTAGACCGCTTTCTGTATATAAACTTAATCATATTGAGGTAACATCTGCCAGACAGACATGAAGAATTTGGTAATTAAAACAGGTTGCTTAGGAGCTATTGACACTGCTTTCTGACGTGAAATGTGTTGCTAACAATAACACGTTTGTAAAATGCCTGTCCCCGGTAAAGGGTGCAGTCTGGTAGATTTATCCTTAGACTGGAAGGGACCTCTAATTTTCTAATCCATTTCCCTCATTTCACAGATGAGAAAATAAAGGCCTGATAAGGTGAAATGACTTACAGCTAGTTTGCAGCTAGTTAAAACAGTCTGTGGTTTGGCTTACAGGTTTCTTTCTGTGAAGATGCTAATTTGCCTCTTTGCTTAGAAGTAGCTTTATGGAGTTGTGGAAAGAACACTGAAATATAAGTGAGAAGGCCAGGTTTTAAATTCTTGACTTGTCACTTCCTATCAGTGGTTTTTGACATATAACATTAACTTTCAGAACCTTGCCATCTTAATCTACAGAAGTAATTTTCCTACGTAATTTACAGCGTGTTAGTTGGAACAAATAAGAATACTATATAGAAAGCACACTGTAAAGTATAAACTTTTATGTAGATAAAAAGTATTGATATTATTTTTTTAAAAATACAATTTTTAAAATATAGCAAGGTGTTTAGATCCCCAGGTTTTTGCTTAGCCCTAGCTTTATTGTTTTCAGCACCTGCTATTTTACAGATTATAACTCCCTGTAGATAAATTTTCTGATCCCCGCTTAGTTCTAATCTTAGTAAAGCCTCTTATGAACATTTTAAATATTGCAGTTGTTAGAGCCTGACTTCCCCTGGAGAATACCAAGTTTCTTCATCTAGCATTTGAAAACATTCTCATATACACTCATGCATGCATAATCTGCTTCTTTAAGAGACAGTGGCTTTTTTCAAAGTAATAGTGAAAGTATCTTAGTAACAATGTTAATTTGTCTCTTGTTTCCAGATATGGCAATAGTGGGAGATAATTTCCTTCATAAACTCAGCTTTAAATAGTTCATGTTAAGGTCAACTGGTAGATCTGAAATATATACAAATGTTAAAATAGAACTTTGATTTGCTTTTACTGTTAAATTTTAAAACCATTTACTGTTCGAAATTGATAATACTATTATGGAAACCAGTATTTCAATATTGTATTAGGTTATTAAGTATGAAATGTCCGATTCCCAACTTTGCCAGTTGGTATCTCTGACATTTCACTTTGACACTTGTAGTTTTATTTTTATTGTGAAGGCACATCCTCATTCTATAAAACGAATGGTTCGGCTTGTGATTATGTTTCACATTTTTTTAAGAGCAATTCTTGTGAAACCATGGATAAAGTAAAAAATTTGTGTTATTTTCGAATATGAGTTCCATCGTGGAACCAGTGCAGCACAGACAGCTTGAAATATCAACAAAATGTTTGGGAAGGATGTGGCCAATGAACTCACAGTATGTCAATGATTTGAGAAGTTCTGTTCTGGTTTTAATGTTAAAAATGAGCCACGTAGGTGACCTGAGACCTGGGGAGATAACGATGAGCTGAAAGCTGTAGTAGAAGTGAATTTTCAACCTATGTGTGAATTAGCGGAAAGGTTTGATGTTACTATTCCAACAATATTGGATCATTTGAAACAAATCGACAAGGCAAAGAAGCTGGATAGATGAGCTTCACATGAAATTAAATGAACATCAGAAGAGAAATCATCTGGAAGCTTGCCTGTTTTTGCTCTCAGGACATAAAGGACATTTCTACATCATATTGTTACGTATGATGAAAAAGGGATTCTTTTTGACAATCTAGATATGTCAAATGAGAACCTCAATTGACATGAGAACCTCAGTGACAATGAGAACCTCTCAAAGTCTAAGCTTTCGGCACAATGGTTGGGTAAAGATGAAGTGTCAAAACACAGTCGAAAACTGAATATTTGTCAAAAAAAGCTACTGGTTTCTGTTTGGTGGTCCATAGTGAATATTATCCGCTACAACTTTATGAAACCTGGTCAGTTGATTACAGCACATGTCTACTGCAGCCAGTTGGATAAAATGATTACGATGCTTGGGATTAAGCAGCCGAGACTGGTCAATAGAGACAGGCCAATCCTCCTGCAAGACAACACTGGACCACGTGTCACACAAACAACGCTGTTCAAACTACAGAGGCTGGACTTGGAAACTCTCTGTCGTCCACTGTATTCACCAGACCTTGCACCAACTGACTACCATTTCTTCCAGGCCTTGGGACCACTTCTTGGAAGGAAAAATATTCAGTTCTCAACAAGCTGTGGTAAATGTCTTCTGTGATTTCATTGCCACTTACTCTCCAGGCTTCTTCAGTGCTGGTGTAAACAAGCTACCACAGGCCGGGCGCGGTGGCTCACGCCTGTAATCCTAG